CATCATCTTTTTTACTGGTCTCTGTGGTGGGCCTTTTCCACAGCAGGTTTTAACCAAATTTTGAACTATGTTCAAATCCTGTGGGATTACAAGGCACCATCCCAAAATTCTTTCATCTATAATGGGGCAGTAGAAGCTGTTGCAACCTTTGGAGGTAAGTAAACATTGATTTGTCTTCCTTTGATGGGCTACCCCCATTGAGTTTATGTCTCCAGTTGCTAAACTCAACTCCACGGTGGTTCTGTTCAGAAAGCATATTAATCTTCTCTCTCTCTCTCTCTTTTTCTTTTCTTTTCTTTTTTTTTTTTTCGGAATGGAAGGTACAGGAGATAAAAAGAAAAAGAAGACCATGACACTTTTATTTAATGTGGTAGAGTTACAATGGATAACTCGAGAGCTCGGGATTAGGCACCAAATGATTAAATTCTAGCCAAATTCCTAAGATTCCGTTTCATCCTCAGGAAAGGTGCTAATAACGCCCCTTGTTCTTCCAGGATTGTTTTTAATATCCAAAAGAAAATACTCACCGTGTATATAAGTGAGTAGATTTTATTATTTTAGAAAATGGATGAAACTCTTACGACTTCCGGATTACCATGGAAAGAGTTTTGTTAATAAAGGATTTGATTTAGCTCATGCTCACCTTTAGCAGTTTTAGGTTCTACACCAGATAGCTCCAAAAGTAACTTTCTTAAGAGATCTAAATGAGAAGTGGGATATATGTGAGAGTCAGGATTCTAATGTCAGAAGGAAATCTGCCTTTGAAGTTTACAATAAATATTTATATCCTGGTAAATGAGAACTTAAGTTCAACTGAGACTTTAAAGATATTTTCTAGGAAGTAAGAGATTTCCACACCCTGACATTTACAAAAAATGTCAGAAAACTCATGGAGTGTCTGTTCTCTTATTGTCTCTCCTTTGGGAGGCCTCATCTTAATTCCTGCAAATCAGGACTGCACTGGAATTGGTTTATTGAAATTATTTCCCCTATGTTCCAAATTCAGGGCGAAAAAATAATTTTATTTCTTTGTAGCACTGGTTCTTTCCTGGATCACGTGTGGAAAGGGAATTAATCAAACGTTAGTCATTTGAAAATAAATACCTTTCATTTTGTTAAAGAGAACTATAAAGACTAACCCTGATTACTGTCAATTATTCAATCTCTTTTTTTTAAGTTTATTTTTTATTTCTTTGTTTTGAGAGAGAGAGCATGCTCAAGTATGAGTGGGGGTCAGGGTAGAGAGAGAGAGAGAGAGAGAGAGAATCCCAAATGGACTCCATGCTCAGCACAGTGCCCGAATCGCAGAACCCCAACACAAGACCCAGTCCCACGAACCGTGAGACCATGAGCTGAGCCAAAATCAAAAGTCAGACACTCAACCAACTGAGCCACCCAGGTGCCCTAGTTACTCAATCTCTTAAACCCCGTAAGTCAATATCGAGTTCACCCAAATGAGGCCAGATCTCAAAGACACTGAGATGGAGACTAAAGGACTAAGATTACTAATAAAGACCAAAAGGTTCTACTCAGTGCAACACATCTGTTACCCATTGAAAAAATTTACGGTAAAAAGACAATAAAGAAAGGCAAGTGTGGATGGGCTAGGTGTACTATCTAAGCAGCTGTCTCATTCTTCTCTATCCCTGCCCTTCACCTGTTGTAGTCACTGGCTGGTTTGTGTGCTGTGTACCCCAGTCTGCTGTGGTAAAGAAACTTTCTGGCCCCTCTGCAGGGTGCAGTTCATGGCATGTAGCAGATACGAATTGAAACTGATTGGAAGAATAGGAGGTAAAGGGAGAAGCCAGAAGAAAGCATGGTTGAGAAAAAGATAAATCCACATTTAGGTGGATCACACTATTTTTGTGAAAGCCATATATTCATCTTGTAGATTTACCTATGACCTGGATTTTTGAAGGGAGCATGTTGACATATCCTGTGTGTAAAGTCATTGTGTTGGATCTCCCTTAATGTTTCTTTTCCAGGGGCCGTGGCTGCCTTTGCCGTGGGCTTTGTGAAAGTCAACTGGGATCTCCTGGGAGAGTTGGCTCTAGCGATCTTCTCCATCATTAGTGCAGGCTCTCTGTTTCTCATGCATTACACAACCAACATCTGGGTATGCTATGCTGGCTATTTAATATTCAAGTCCAGCTATATGCTTCTTATAACCATAGCAGCGTAAGTATTACCAGCCATGTCTCTCCACACCTAAACCCACGCCATATTCTCCCTTCTGTTGCATTTCAAGAGTTTCTTTCAGAATTTCAGAAGGATTTTAATCGATTGCAGTATTAAATGTTGATTACATATTAAATTGGACACAATTAAGCCGTGTTTTCATTTAACTGTTTGCCCTCTGAATGTTGCTAAGGTCAGTCATCAGAGAAAAAACAAAGTTCTGTGGGTTCATAAACCAAAAGCAATGATGCACTGTCAGGTCGTGATTTTTATTGCAAGCCATTTGCCCTCACGGGGTATGGTGCAACCTGATTTTGAATGATCACACGTAGATTTCATGACCGATTTCATTGGTTTATGTAATTGTAGGCATATGCTTTTGTGTGAAGCAAAATATACTCAGAAAGTTATAAAAAGTTGTATTTTGAAAGAAGCAGATGCAACAATTATAAGAAACTGTATATCCCAGAAATCTTTTTTTTTTTTTTAACAGTGAAAAATGTTTTGTTACGTATATAGAAGTGCAAAGAAAGCTGACTATAGGAAATAAGCTTTGGTATTAACCAAAGAGATAAGAAACATTTGAATTTCAAGTCACAGGAAAGAGGTAGAGCCAAAAGCTGTATTGTTTTGGTTTTTAATGTGTGAAAAATATTTGATAAGCAATTGATGAAACACGGAAATATAAACACCATGGGAAAAGATCATGGAACAAAAGAAAGAAAGTTTGTTGGCAGGTTTACTTTTTTCATGGAAATATGTCAGTTTAATGAATCAAGTTTCTTTTTTTAACGTGAGGGCATTGTTAAGGTAGGATTGCATTACTTCTTTTCATTTTAAGGATATTCAGAACCCAAAGCCTTTCACCTTTGTTCCAAGGGAGAGCGCTCGAGAACATACTTCTGCCACTCATTCATGAGTTGTAAGATACAGAATCTATCAAATTATCAAAAATAAATTACAGATTCACTCAGCTGCATAGCCAGGCATGATCTGATCTTCCAATGAATAAATAATTCACTTACAAAAATTTGAAACTGTGAATACAATTGACAATAAAAAGAATAACGCTCCAAACGATTCCGTAGATTGGGCGGTGCTTACATTTCGCTGCGAAAAGGTATCAAAAATCAGATAGCATTGAATATTCTCAGGTTATGAGTGAGACCGGAGAACATTTAGGTTTCATTTCTGGAAGCATTAAATTGGAGAGGAGGAATTTTGTCCTATTTCCTTCAACTGTATTTTAATTCGGCCTTCAACTGTATTTTTTAATTCCCTTTCTTTGCTCTGCCCCTTTGTCGAAACTGGAGGAGATTTAGACAAAAAGTGCGGGTAACAAGTCACCACATTTATCTTCAGTTTCTGTCTTTTAAAGGTAAGAATCCCACGTGTACTTTGTTTCCAAAAAAATGTAATTCAACGTTTAATGATAGATTTCAGATTGCAGTTAATCTGAGTGTGGAGCGTTATGCCCTGGTGTTTGGAATGAACACCTTCGTGGCCCTGGTGATCCAGACCATTATGACAGTGATCGTAGTAGATCAGAAAGGACTCAACCTGCCTATCAGCATTCAGGTAAGCTGCAGGATTGCTGTTTCCTACTCGGATGTTGCGGGGAGTGTAGAATAACCAGGTAATCGCAAAGGGTTTTTGTCAACCTCACCACTGCCAAGCCTTCATTTCTTGAATTGCTTAGCTAAATGCTTAAGTCAGCAATTTCCTTTTCCCTGCTCCACTGAGGTACTTGAAATCAGCCCAGTCTCACATTTTACGTATGGATCTGGAAAAGGCAGGGATAAAGCATGTAAGAAGTAACCTCATTATCTAAAATTCATCCTTGGGGACATTACATATGGCGTTGCACTGTCCTGCAAACATACACACATATCAGTGGGATTTAGTGGGGTTTTTTTCACTATTGGTGATGTCAGCTGGCGTTTGAACCCAAGCAACCTTGGCTCCAGAACCCGCATTCTTAGTTACTGCGTTTCTTTTTTTTTTTTTAATTTTTTAAAAGTTTATTTATTTTTGAAAGAGAGAGACAGAGCATGAGCGGGGGAGGGGCAGAGAGAGAGAGAGAGGGAGACACAGAATCCGAAGCAGGCTCCAGGCTCTGAGCTGTCAGCACAGAGCCCGATGTGGGGCTCGAACCCACAAACCGTGAGATCATGACCTGAGCTGAAGTCGGACATTTAACAGACTGAGCTACCCAGGTACCCCTAGTTACTTCATTTCTTACACTTTCATACGTGATTCTTCTAAGATAGAAGAAAGTATTGTGCAAATCTAAATGACTCATATTAAGATCCTGGGTCTTAGTTATCTCATAATGCAAGCAAATCAATAGCACCGCTATGTATTATCAATAATAGACACAGTCATATTTTGTGTGTGTCTAATTAATTCTACTTGTTTTTCTCTAGTTTTTAGTTTATGGGAGTTATTTTGCAGTTATTGCTGGCATTTTTCTAATGAGAAGCATATACATCATCTGCTCAACCAAGTTCCAAGAGCAGCCACAGAGCTCTGCTACATGTCAGAATCCAGCTGAGCCCCACCCAGACGGACCCAGGAATGTCAACATGGAAACAAAGCTCTAACCTTATGGCAACCACTGCATCCACTGAGAAAGGACCCGCCAGGTCACAAAGCCACCGAGTGACACAAAATGACACACTTCCTAAGTCTGGATTTCAAGGAACCTTTTCAAAACCCCAACAAAATATCGGTTTTAGACCAGATGTCTATGTGCCCAGCTGGATGCATTCAACAGGTCCCGTCACCTCAGTCAAACAGTCCGTGCTGGGGACCCCAGGGAGTAGCAAGGACTGGGAAATTCTGGTTCTGATTACTCTTTAGGACATGCAAATGGCATGGAAACAAACCACGAGAAACTCCAGTCATTCTGGAGTTGATGTTCCCGACTCCAGAGCAGAAATACTAACTAGATTCACCTTGTTGCTTGGCTCACATCTTTGTTTTATCTTGCTGAAACTGGCAAGAGAGGGGACATTTTTTGTCACATGGCCATTTTCCTTCTTCTTCTATTCAGTATATTTCTATATAGCATGCAGTTCTCTGAGAGAATTTCAAGGTTTGGTCCCATTTCTGAGGATCCCTCTTCAATCCTGATAACATGGCATTATTCACAAGCTAAAATTTGGTAATATCACCATTGAATTCGGTCATGATTATTTTTCGCTTTGGGTTCTGCTGAGCTTTGTTGTTAAAAATCTACCTCAGGAATAGCTCCAGACGTTCCTGGATATCCACAGAATGACATTCAAGTCAATTCCTCGTGACCATAGGGGAGACAACGGGCTTTCTCCCTACCATGACCCCAGACAGGTGTTTTAATGCTGTGTCCGTGTGATCTCTGTGTAAAACAGAGAAACTTAACTAGAAATTTCTAGGACTTTTTAAGTATTTTTAAGTAAGAAAATACTAATAGGGTGGGGGAAACGCCTAATTTTTAAAGGGCAGTGCTTGTGCCAAATAAAATAATGTGGGCAAAAATATTAAAGAGTCTTTCTAATTTTTGGATGAATTGTGCTGAGAATCATCTGTGCTTGTCCTTTGCAACTTCAATAGAAGACAGATTGAGCAGTCTGCCATGGAAATATAGAATGCCCATTCAAGATTTGTGTTTCAGATATACTTTTCTCCAAATTCTAAAATCCGATCACTGGACTGAAAATAAAACTCAGCCCCAAAGCCAACATTTACTTACTAGGGAAAAGTAATGATATTGCTACTTCTAGCAAAACCAAGGAAAGGATGACCACTATTATTCTTCCTATTTAATTGGTTGGACTAGTGGTATAAGCCAACACAGACAAGCAAAAAAATGAGCAGTGAAAAACTATACTAGAGGAGGCAAAATTATCATTATTCCAGAGACTACAAGCATACACCCAGAAGACTCAACTAAAAACTAAGATCACAGTATAGAAAGTAAATATATAGCAATCAACAGCCTTCGTGGTACAACAACCATTTAGAAGATGCGTGGGACTTACAGACCTGAGTTATGGTAGGACAAAAATAATGCAACAATAATTATATTTAATTTATTTAGTAATTTAATAAATGTGTAAGGCATATATGAATATGCCTGGCAAACACTTCTGAAGATTACAAAATAACACCTAAACATATAGAAAGGCCTATCTTGTCCTTGGTTAGGAAGAAAAATTATATAAAGACATCATGCTTTCTAAATAAGTTTATAAGTTAAATCCTATACCAGAGGAAAAAATACATTTTTTTTTTCAGAACTCGTAAGGGTGATGCTACATTTTATTTGGAAACCGAACAAAGAAGAACCAAGAAAATGCTTTGTCAAGGGAAAATGAGATTAAATTATTTGCAGAGAATAACATGCTACACTAAACTCTTAACTACAATAACATAGCAACATGAAGAGACAGTCCACTGGAATAGAGTAGAAAGTTCTGATTTAGTCCCTAGTTTATATGGGATTTTAGACTATGATAAAGATACCATCTTATACAAAGGAAGAAAAAATGGAATATTTAATAAGATTGGCAGAATGGCAGAATTTTTTTCAAAGAAAAACTAAATTAGGTGCAAAAGTGATAAAATAACTTTATCAATATGCAGTATATATATTAGTACACAGATATAAAAAATGAAACCACAAAAATAGTAGAAAAAACACATAAACACTATTTATAACCTCAAACCTTTCTAAAGTAGCATAAAACCTCGAAGTCATTTAGAAAAACGAATTGACACCATAAACTTACATGTGGGAGAAAAATCACGGCAAACAAACCCAGAAGACAAAGAGTAATCTGCAGTAAATATTGCAACTCATTAAAGCTGCTTTCCTTAATTTCTAAAGAAGCAATACCAACTGATAAGAAAAAGATCAGTCATCTAATAGAAAAATGGGCAAAGCATGTGAACAGGGAATTCAGAGAAAGCAAAATAAGGCTCAGACACGTAGATGTTTAACTCCTAAGAAAAATGAATATCAAATGACAATGAGATACCATTTGTCCCCTGGCAGACCAGAAAATAATCCAGAAGAGTAACAATACACTTAGTTCTCTGGCAATGGGTCCACGGGCAGTCTCAAAGATGGTTGGTGCGTGTACAAATCAGCTCCATTGCTGTGAGGGAAAACTCCACACCCCCAATTACAAATGCACGTATCTTTCCACCTATAGATTTCTCTGGTAGAAATAGACACTATTGCTATACTGCACACCTGGGAAATGACTCACACAACTGTTTTTCATGACAATACTGTTTCTGAGAACACAGGAGTGGAAACTATTTAAAGGTTGTTACGTGGAGACAGGGATGATGTATTATGGTCCGTCAATATGTTCACCTGTAATACTATTAATGGGATAAAGACGAGGAAGATCATTACATCGTGGTAAAGGCCTATAAAATAAATTATTAGGTGGAGAGAAGTATGAGGTAGAATAAACCATTAGGTGGAAAACAATGAGTGTAGTAGCTCCTCATTTGTGTAAATGTAAGTGTGGGTAGTGGCTTATATACACACACAACTTTTCTGGAAGGACAAACAAAGCTAATAACAATGACCTGACACGGGGGAAGGAGAAATGTGGTGGACGTGTCAGTTCCCATGGATTTGGATGCTTTTTGCACCGTGTCAATGACTCATAACCAAACTGAAATGCTAATTAAAAAAAAAAAAATGTTTAGCCTCTTGAGAAATAACAAGGGGAAATAAGCTGCAGATTTTTTTACACGTGACCATTCTGATGTTTTTTTTCCCATTTTTTTGCAATATGCATGAATATCCTAAATGTACATTTATAATTAAAAGGAACAAACACAGAAGGGAAAAGAGTATTTTGAAATGAAAAATTTTTATTTGGTATCTCATTAAATAGAAAGATTTATATATAATATATATGTATGTATTATATATGTAAGATATATATAAGATTTATATATATATTTAATATATGTAATATAATGTATTATAATATATATATTAAAATATATGTTTGCTTTGTAAGGGGTAGGTTTTCTTGATTGGTAGGAGCACCTTAGGGAGAAATATCTTAAATGCTTTGTTTTGTACATAGAATGACTTACAGAAACAACAAAAACAGAAGTCATGGGGCACCCGGGTAGCTCAGTTGGTTAAGCAGCTGACTCTTGATTTTGGCTCAGGTCATGAGCTCACAGTTCATGGGATCGAGCCCGGCATTGGGCTCTGCATCGACAGCACGGAGCCTGCTTGGGATTCAGTCTCCCTCTCTCTCTGCCCGCACCCCCTCCACACGCTCGTGCGTAAGCACACATGCTCTTTCTCTCAAAACAAATAAAAATAAAAGCTAAAAAAAAAAAATCATAAACAATAGAAGTAAGGGGAGAGAAATGACAAGATGGGGGCTCCTGGGTGGCTCAGTCGGTTGAGCTGCTGACTCTTGTTTTCAGCTCAGGTCATGATCCCAGGGTCGTGGGACAGAGCCCTGCATGGGGTACTACATTGAGCATGGAGCCTGCTTGAGATTCTCTCTCTCTCTCTCTCTCTCTCTCTCTCTCTCCCTCTGCCCCTCTCCCACTCATGTACTTTCTCCTGCTCAAATAAAAAATAAAACTTAAAAAAAAGAAAGGGGGAGTGCCTAGGTAGCTCAGTCGGTTAAGCGTCCTACTTGGGCTCAGGTCATGATCTCATGGTCCATGAGTTCGAGCCCCAAGTCTGGCTCTGTGCTGACAGCTTGGAGCCTGGAGCCTGTCTCGGATCCTGTGTCTCCCTCTCTCTGCCCCTCCCCTGCTCGCGCTCTCTCTCTCTCTCCCAAAAATAAAATAAAAACATTAAAAAACATGAAACAACAAAAAAAGAAAGGAATGGCGAGAGAATAACCATTTCTGAGAAGAAAGAAAAAGGTTACGGTTCTAGCCCTTTGCCTTGATGTAGGTGAAATATTTAGATCTGGCTTGAGGAAATTGTCGCTACAGGGCACATGACCCACATTTGACAAATGAGTAGGGTCACTGGGCCTTTCGGGAAGAGGCACACAAGGCAGTGGGCGCTGAAACGTCTGGGGGAAGTGCCTACCAGTCTCAGGAGATGAAAAAATGACAGGTGGCTGGGAGGGGAGGCCCCAGGCCTGGCGGTGGCCTGCCCAGCAGCCCTGAGCTCCTTCCGCTGCCATATACACATCCGTACAGCTCGGCCAGGATGACAGAAACTTCCTGCAGGCCCCCTGTAGCCACAGCAGAATAAAAGCAGAATCACTGAGGGCTGTTTTCTGCATCTTTGATTTTTTTTTACCCCCCTTCCCCTGTTTGTCCCACCCTCACCCCCGGTAACCACCTACCTCTTCCCTGTATCTATGATCTTGTTGTCCTTTTTTTGATTCCACATACAAGAGACCTCAAACAGCAGTTATTTTTCTCTGGCTTCTGTCACTTACACACACGCACACATGCACACGTACACAGGCATATCACATCACAATTTCTTTGCCCGCTTGTCCATCTGTGGCTGTTTTCTGTGTTTCATTTGGAAACTTGGGCAATACCTACATGGTGACTGGAAATAATAGTGAAAGTAATGGAAAACGGTAATAGTAATAAAAATAGTTTGCGCACAGGTGCAGAGCAGAAGAAGTACTAAGTTGGGAGACCACACGAATACAGCTCAGAGAGAATACTCAGGATCGTGATCCCCTTGGCTGGGCTCACGGAGTGACTGATCTTCAGGTGTTGGCTGGGTTTACATCCTTGCAAAGCCCATGACTTCTTTGGGATTTTTTTCAAATAAAATGGTTTGGGACCATTGAGTTGATAGAGAAGGGCACAGAGTTCAAAATCCAGCCATATTGTTCCAAAGAGGAAGTCCTGGGGCGCCTGGGTGGCTCAGTTGGTTGAGCATCCGACTCT